GGTGTACGACCGCGCGGGCGACCAGCACTACGACACCATCTCGGCGTTCCACAAGGCGGTGCGGGGAAACGACCCGGACGCGGCGCTGTACTACCTCGCGCGGATGCTGCAGTCGGGCGAGGACCCGCTGTTCGTGGCGCGGCGGATGGTCGTGATCGCGTCGGAGGACGTCGGGCTCGCGGATAACACGCTGCTCCCGCTCGCGACGGCGGCGTATACTGCCGCGCAGCAGATTGGCATGCCCGAGGCTAGGATACCGCTGGCGCACTGCGCGGTCGCGCTGAGCCTTGCGCCGAAGAGCACGAGGGCGTATCGGGGGCTGAATAATGCGTACGCGGCGCTGAGGGAGCCGGGCGTGGCGGCGTTGCCTGTGCCGTTGCATTTGAGGAACGCGCCGACGAGGTTGATGAGAGAGATGGGGTACGGAGCGGAGTACAAGTACCCGCCGAATTACAGGGAGGGACGAGTGAGGCAGGAGTATCTGCCTGAGGAGCTGCTGGGAAGAAGGTTCTTGGAGGATAGGGATTTGGGGACTGAGGTTGATCCGGACTTGGAGATGGAGACGGAGATTTGAGAGGGAGGAGGGTGAAAGGAAAGGCGCGAAGTTGGAACTGCGTTAAGCATGGCATTGCGGGCTTTTAGGTTTACTGGCCTTCTTGGGATGGAGGCAGCTGGATTTCGTTTCGATGCATAGCGCTGAGGACTGGACTGGATGGGTTGTCCTTGGACATGATGATGAATACACTTGTATTAATATGTAAGATTGGATGGTTGTTGACACTGGTGCGACTCGTATCGTGAGGTTTCGTTGGTGTTTATGCAAACGATAGCCGGGAACATGCTGCTCCAGTTGGTGATACCGTCAGGCAAAGGGTCCTCTGTTGATAACATACTGGACTTGTAGCGGTAACTATTAACTGCCGATTCAACGGCTGAAGACAGATACAACCTGGGTCCTCGCCCATCACAAGATGGGCTGTCAGTCAGAACTACACGATCCTGTAATCCTCATTGACCGAAGACGCGTTGAAGAAGTTTCGATTTTGTCGTGTTAATGAGCGGCTAACCCAACCCGATCAAAATCGTCTTACCCGACGAAAAGGACCAAGGTGACCTCGTATTCAACGGAGTTCCTGCGATTGGTTATGCGAATGATTGGTCTCGGATCTAGCCGTTCATGTGCAGTGCTGATCTCTTCCATGTATATAGGTTCGTCATGTACGTCAGCTCTTCGCTTCAAGCTCGACAGCCTTGTCTCTACCACGTCGATTTTGCTCTCGAATTTATCTGTTTTGCCCGCCATGAGTATCAACATAGGCTTTCTGGTAGCAACTATCTTTAAGTTGGTTAAATTAACCATCACAACCGATCCTGACATAGTGATTAGCGTCTTGGGAAATGTCATTTCTGCTATATCGCAGCCGTTCATCTTAGCTCTGAGAGAAGCAGCATCAGGAACCTTTGACGACAAATGGACTCGCATTGATGGGCGTGGTCGTTATGGCTACGTCCGAGTTTGGGATCATCCAGGTGCTGGGCCAGAACACACTCGGCCAACTGGCATCGTTAAGATTGAAGCAATCTGCGGTTCGCTTCTTAATCTCACTTCAGTTCTCCACGATCTTCCCAAGCCGCAGGATGGTCTGCGTCGAGTCTACGTAATGGAACTACTTGACGACGTTGCTGAATTGGTTTATTGCTGCGGTGACGGCAGCATCAGCTTCAAAACCACAGATCACAGTATCGCTAGCGGTAGAAGTGAGAACCAACACAACAACCGAGACAACAATGGAGATCGGCACGACAATGACATCGGCGGCGACGGCAACCACGGCAACAGCGATGAAGACTACAGTGCTCATCGTTTAGCTAATGAACCCGCCGCTTGTAGTTGTGCATATCTCCCATTGGAACACTACACAAAAAGCCACATGTCTCTCCTGTCTATGGGAGATGACTCAAAAGTCCGATGGTTTCGCCTAGAATCTTTTGAAATTCTCTTCCCGGCCGGCGAGTGGCGCAAAGATGTCACCTTCGCCCGTGTAGAACGGAATATTCAATTCCGGGAGCACGGCAATCACTCTGTTGGTATGCCTCCGATTCCATCCTGAAAGCTTCGATGGAGATGATGCTAAAGTGGCTCATAGTCTTAATCCAATGTAGAACACTCGTCCCCGATAAATTGGCCCTGCCTGACAGAACCTCTCTACTTGGAACACTCGAAGATCGGATGAACAAAAAGGAAGCTGCCGTTAAGCTAGCACGTTTTTCCTTCCAAGCCACAGCTTCATTCGCAAAACAGCTGCGTGAACTTGATCACGTGTATCAAGTGTTCGAAAACACCTCCAATTGGAAGGTGTTGTCCAGCCTCCAATACTACCACGCCAACCTGATCTTATACGCTGAATTTCTTGTCGCCTACGAAGAGTCGTACATGAACAACAAACAACCGCTTTTTGATCCTCGTCGCTCCGAATTCAAACAGGGCCATCTGAAAGAAGTCACAAAGACTTCTTGCCTCATCCGCGATCTAAAGAACGCGGGAGACCGACTGCTGGAAGCGATCGAGTACTTGGTCGAATTTACCAAAGAAGCAGCGGCTATCCAACACACTTTATCCGGTCCTTCGACCATTCCAATGGCGCCAGGTCAAGCTAAATTTACACAACTGCAACTTGAGATACACGGTCTTTGCCAGCAAGTCAGAGGCTGTTTATCGAGATTGTCTACCAGTCTGGAACATGACATCAAATTTCTGGGCATGCGTCGGGAAATGAGACAAACGAATAGTGTCCAACGATTGACCATATTGGCGACAACATTCCTACCCCTTTCACTGTCTGCTGGGGTCCTCAGCATGCAGACACGCTTCAAGGACTTAGGGCCATTGCTGTACGACTTTTTCGGCGTTGTTGTTCTTCTCGGTGCACTTGTATTTCCATTGCTGGTGTTCCTCAACTTCCAGAAAATTGTCACCGATCACATTTTGGTAGACCTTGAGCTACGAATGGGCTCTGTTTACAAATCGGTACGACGCGTCTTGTTTGCCTATATGTGGTTTGGCATCACAATACTGGCTATTACTATTTTGGTTTCTTTCGTCCTCGGCATGTTCAAAGATGTGGCTCTGGGTGCAAAGATATTAGGTTACGGTATCGCCGTGTGCAGTTTCCCAATGGTGCTGATGATTTTACTTGTCGCGGATATCATTTTGCTTCGATGGCTCTCGAAACTACGGAGACGTCTGAGACGATCTCAGCGGCAAAGAAAACCACGCCGACGGGGAAGGGACGAAGAAGCTGCTCGTGTGTCATGTGCGGTTGCAGAGACGACAGAACCGATAGAGCTTACTGGCACGACTGGCAATGGCCAGGAAGCAGCCAATACTACAACAGGTCAACTAGGCAGCTAATGAAGTCTCACAGGCGGTGACAAATGGAGCATTTTGATAATCACTTCGGAGTCTGCAACTTTAGTTTTGTAGTTTTTGAACTTTACTCGACGTGGAAGGGGCCCAGATAATAGAGGCTCTTGATAATTCAACGATATCGTCGCTCATCAAGTAGAGCTGCTGGGATGCCCTGAAGTTGACAACATTCGTTGTCTTTCCTGAACGAAACGTTCCGTCTCCACATAGATGCGCTGGGCTGGTGACATTTTGGACGACGCCGGTACGCCCATCAGGAAGCTCGGGACAATGAACAGTACCCATAGCAGAAGCACAGAGAACCCTAAGTAGTAAATTCCTGGTTCGATGTTTACGAAAAAGATCGCATACATGAAACTCAGAAAAGCATGGAGCAGCACTAGTTGAGATAAACGGGGTGCGCTCCCACGCTTGCGGAGACGTAATTCAATATGAGTTAGGGCTGCAAACTCCCCGTATAAGACATCTCTTCTGTCTTCTGGAATCTCACATGGATCCTTCGCGGCCGTAAAGAGATATTTTTTGACGTGCTCGAAGTTAATTTGGTACGGATCGCGCGTAGGCTGTGTTCGTTCCATCGTTTGGGTTCCTGCCACAAGTGCGACATTCGCAGGAACGGAACGCGCCCTCAACTTTTCGTTTTGGTAGTCTGAGCAAGGTTTAGTATTGGGAGCCAATAAATTGTTTGAAATATGAAAGGCACCTACCGCCGTACACCTCGCCAGCTGCAAGGCAAGGCAGCAGTAGAAGAAAAAGTACCATGAGTTGACCAAATCCCATTTCCCTGGCTTCATCCGTTAGAGTCGGTGCACTTAGAAGCGCATATGAAACGACCTAGGACACGCCATAAGAAAAGCTGAAGGATATCATTGGTATGGTCGAAATGAATGCCCGATTGTAGTCGAAAATCCCCAGGGTCAGTCTAGTTGCAAATTTATAAAAAGATAAGAAGGATGAGTTCTCATTTTCGAGATCTTGAATGCGAAGCAGCATGTTGCATCCGCGATTCGCAATCCTTTTTTGTCGTTGTTGTTCTTGAGTGAGAACCCTGGGTTCAGGGCATTTCTCTACTAGGATACTAGTAATTGGAGCCCATGGATCGCATTTGTCCTGCAGATGTACATCCAGTAATCGAGAAGTATATCAGCTCCAAATAATCAGAAGTACGAGCGTAGGTTGAATGACACGAGATGCTGCAGCGCCAGCCTCTATGTGCCATCTCGTGCACGATGCTGGCAACTTCGACGCAGACATCTCCCGTGACACGCGGTAAGATGTATATGTGAGTAGTATGAGCAGAAGAAACATTCCAAAGACACGAATTGCCAGGACCCATCGATTTTGAGATCTCAAAGTCGGCCTTAAGACGTCCTAAGTTGCGAGGTGAGTAGTCGAAGAAAACCAGGCAAGACTGTGAGCAACTGAGAATTCATAGCCGGACAAATTGCCCTGGCTGGAAACAGTGATTATCAAAAGCGCCAACCCCGAAACAAGTTGCTGATTGCTTAAAGAAAGTACGAATTGGTCGAAGCATGCGGTGCGCCTTTTCCGCAGATCGTCTCGGGTTTGGGTATCACTCCGCGCAGTGCTATGTTCTTCAGTTTGCCTAAAGGCTCGGCCGAGAGAGCCCTTGAGTACGTTCTTGACGCTTGCTTTACGCTTTCGTATGATAGTTCTAACTTTATACTTGAATTCGTCATCCAGGTCGGTCATCAAGTCGCCATCGATAGCATCATAGTAGTAAGCAAGTAGAACAGCGAAGATGGTGACAAGCGCACTTCCGAGAAAGGCTGCTAGTATCTGGAATCTCAAACTTAGCAGAATGCCCATCCTAATCAATGAAAACCAGTGCTCTGCAAAACTGAAGTAATGGTAGAATTATGTCTCATGAAAGAAGAAATCGTGGATATCCTACGCCATAGCCGACGATGTCTCCCGTGGCATTTAATGGATCCGAAGTAGAATTGCACCGCGTCATATTTCGAGAGAGAGCTCCAAGAATACCATGAAAATGAACATGATATGTGAAAGAGTGGCTGCAGGACTGTTGAGAAAGACTTGTTTAATGTCCTGTGCGGTGACGCTGAGATTAAAGAACTTCACCAGCCTGCCAAAATAATAGGCATTACTTACCTTTGGACACGAAGCTTCTTAATGTCAGGCGTATTTATACTTTTCTGAGCGACAATGGTATATTTGCGCGCTTCCGAGTCGACTGGATGACGTACAATTTGCCAGTCCGATGACTGCTTGCATCCAATGGCAAGGGCACGAAAGGGCACCACCATCCTGTTCTTCTTCCCTCCTAGCAAATCGCTTGCGACTTGTAGATGCATGGTGGCTTACAACAGGGCATAGTTTCTACTCGGGGCTGACTGGTTTTGATTGGATGTGATTGCAGTTGGGATTCTCTTGGCCAAGCGGGCTAACCAGCTCGAATCGGGTCTTCCAATGATACCCAGCGATTGGGATGAAGCAGGCTGTGTACCCCGTCACTCGAAAAAGCGCCTAATTAATATGGCTGATAGTAGAAATGGAAGACCTATTCACCCATTTCTGCCCTGTGTGGTCCTTAACGAAACCCCCTGCTCCCAGTCGAATTAATTAGATTCACGAATTGGACGATTTCCGGCTCATATCTGGGATCTCGCGAGAAAAGATCTCGCAGAGTTCAATGAGTAATTCTTCCCTTGTATATCGAGGAGTATTTTTGTGGCGGCTGTGCGCCATTCCAGAGCCAGCGCGTGAGATGGGGGCAGTGCCGAAAATCTAGTTCTTGTGTGAATGGCGTCAGTTCACAGTTAGCATCACATCTTTAGGCAAAAGAAGGAGACAAATCATATTCCAGTGCAAGGTGTAATCAGATACCAAACTACTAAATCCCTAAGCCTAGATATGCATCAATAGCTTCTCCGCAATAATCTTCCCCAAGTCGGTCGAACCGTCTGGCATGACATTTGCGGGATATTCGAACGTCTTTTCCATCTCCTCTTTGAAGGCAAAGTGATGCAGGTCTTTGCTATCCTTGAGATTATGCCCGAGCCGATAGTGCATCTCGAGAAACTCGGGACGTGGTAGTGGTAAGTTCGAATCGCTTATGTCAACCTCATTGTTTCATCGTTGCTAGTGAAGCGTCTTTTTGCGAAGCACCTGAGGGCTGACATCCACTCAAGATGGTATACGTCTAGCTGGTGAAAAGGTGAGCGTTAACGATGCTAAGCTTGTGGCAACTTGGAATCCTCATGAGAACAAAGCCACGTACCTATTCAGTAGGCCGAAAGAATACATCAAATGTTTCAAAGTAATGGCACAGATTGAGATCCAGCGTCAGACCGTTTTCGAATCGGTTTACCATCTTGGAAGTCTCTGCCTTGTCTTTGACGAACGATGGAAAGTAACGTTGTAGAGTCGACCAAATGACCCTCTTGTTATGTCTTCCGGTGGCTGTATCCTCTTGGTCGTTATCACCCAGCTCCCCGAGGGCGAAGGGAAGCATGCGAGCGCATTTTGAACTGACCACTAACCGCCCATCGTTATCAGGACCTGCACTGACTAGGCCGTCCTGTACCCTCTCCAAGTCTGTAGGCGCATTTGTACCCGTCCCGTCGGAGACACTCTTGTTTCACTGAGTATTGTTGCTCATACGCGTACCATATAGAATCAAGCCTCAAGGGTTTGACAGGTGGTGTTTTGGGTTGCTTGCCGCTGGTGAGTCTCACTGTAGTCCTGACGTGTCAGACGAAATATTGACCGGACAGTGGGTCGCGTCCATCCAGACTCACTCGGTTTCAAAACAGCGTTCCGTAGATGTTGGGCAAGTTCTCGGAGCTTGTCATCATCTGGGCCGATGGTGATCACGTCTTTCATCAAGACTAGCTTCCCATCTTCCGGAAGATGTTTGTGAAATATGCGAAGAAGCCCGACTGTTTTCTCTTGATCAGTCTCGGATAATGGCCTGAATTTTTCCAGGGTTTCTTCCCAGCGTTTGAAGACATCTCCCCAAAAAACCGCGGAAGTTTGTGTCCCGTCATTTTCTGCGAGGGGATGGGGGGACAGAGAGCCCAGAGAGTGCAGAGGACTCCTCCAAAATGGAAGCTCGCCGAGCAGCCATGACATCGTGGCTTCATGCGGCTAGGATTCGCAATATCTTAGGTAATTAATAAATTGCTGGGCAGAAACTTTCGTAGGAAACATTTTCATGTACCTCTCATGGTCCTCAGCACCTTTGTAGCCTGTGAGTCATTATTTGGGGAGCTTCTGGATGCCACATATTCTTTCGTGTTTCATTTCCAATCAATTGCAGTACATTCTGTAATATCAATAAAGTCTTACCGTAGTTAATCCTCAATTTAATACGACAGAACACATTTGTGAAGTTTCTCGGTCTCTACCTACTTAGTGTCTTAGGACATCAAGGTCTTCAACATAGATGTTCAATATTCCAGCCTTAAGGTACTTTAGATGGATTTTTCTTATTAAGTGTTATAGTCAGCTATCTAACAGTAGGGTCTGCTAATAGAAGCTGGGGATTAAAACGTAATAACAGTATATTAAGTTATAGTCTTAGTTATAAGTCATAAGCTTATAGTAGATTAGTTCTTTAGAAGCTAAAGTAATTAGTTTTAAGCTTAATAAGTAATTTATAAAAATAAACTAAAAGTATCTATAAAGATAAATATAGAAGTTAACTACTAAAATGCCATAAAAATCTAACTATAAGTTAGTTTTAAGGTTATATTATATATAAGTCCAAAATAGTATCTTTTACTTATATCTAAGTAATTATTTAAATATATAAGTGTTATAAGCTTTTCTGCTGAAGTTAGTTAGATATATAAATAATTATATACTTATAGGGACTCTTAATATATTAGACATAAAAGTCTAAACCTTATAAATATAAAAAGGTATTCTTTTTAGACTATAGAATATAAAACCTAAAGATTAATTATATTTATATTCTTATTATTATTATTCACTTTATTTATATATAGTTTTAGCTACCCCTATTATAGCCTCTAACTAATAAGAAAACTATAGTAATTAGTAATATAACTTAATATCTTTTTCTTTCATATAACCTTTTTTCTCTATAACTTTATTATTATCTCTAATAAAGTAAAAAGATAATATAAAAGTTATAAAATAATCTTTAGACTAATATTTAATTTTAGAGTATAATTTTAGGATTTTATTATAGTATTAAGCTTTTTAATGTAACTTATAAAGAAAAGTAATAAAAAGAAAAAAAGGCTTGTAGAGAATAACACCTAATAGTTAATATTTATAGCTAACTATTTAAATTCTTTAATTCTATTACTTTTTAGTAATATTTCTCTTTTTAGTAATAAGAATTCCCTTCCAGAGAACTGATTATTAAGAAAAGCTATAATATTAAACTTAAAATATTAAGTAATAGCTAAGAAGTTACAAGCTTTTTATAAAAATATTATAATTATTGATATATTTTTAGCTTTAAAAAGAGATTTTATAATTAAATTATAATCTTTTATCTTATTAATTAGGATAATAACAATACTTTTTCTGTTAGTATAAATAATAAAATATAAAAAAAAAGTTTATTTGAAAGATAAATAGATAATTTATTAGTCTAAATATGTTATAGCCATTAATAATATATTTGATATTATTCTTATTATATAAAAATTATTAATATTAAAAATATACTTTATTCTAACTTCTTAAAAAGAGAATAGTTTTATATATAATAATAAGTTTACTCTCTATTTGATTAGTAATAAAATAAAAACTTTATATTAGTTTATAGTTTTAAAAGATAAACTATTATTGATATTGATTAAATTCTATAATTTAAGAGAGAGATCTAATAGAGAAAGAAAAGAAACCTTAAATTATAAATTAGCTTTCTATTAGTTTTTATTATAAACTCTTTGTATTAATAAGAAAATAATACACAAATAATTAGAAGTAATAATAAAACTATAAAATCTTATAATTTTAGTTTTTAATAACGTTTTAAAAGTAAATCTTATTATATACTATATTTAAACTACTTTTAATATTATAGAAAACCAATAAACTTAATATTAGCGCTAATTTAGCTATTATTATAGATAAACTAATAGCTACTAAGAAAATATTTATATTTTCTATAGATATCTACTCTATTATAACAAAGACTTTTATTGAAAGCTTTCAACTAGCTGTCTAAAATATCTAATTTAGAATTAATATTATTTTAAGTTTAAATAAAATTTAATAAAATATTTAGTTTAATTTAATAATAGCTTTAGATAGTACATTTATTATAAGTAAACTAAATCTTATAATAATATAATATTTCTGGCTAAATATTAACAAGAAATAAAATATTAAATTAGTACTTTATAAATAAGATATTTCTTATTCTAAAAAGTAAGATATTTAGATTTTTAGCCTAAATATAAAGCTTTATACTTTAAATATAGAAATAAAAATTAAAAATTATTAAAACTAGTTATTTTATAAAAACATTTTAAACTAATAAGAATATTATTCAGAATAGAGAGAATAGTAGTAATACTTTAGTAAGAGATATTATAGCTTCTAAAATGTTATTTATAAATATTTTACTCTATTTTAGAGAGAGTTTATTAATTAAATCTAAAGATATAAGTTTGTTATAGAAAACCTTATTAATAATATAGATTTTTATATTTGTATTTAAAACTATTATAAATATAAATAGTTTTAGATAAGCTTTATATTACTTACTTTTTAGCTATTAATAATTTTATATAATGTTATTAATTTAAAGCTTTAGAGAATTCTTAATAAGCTAAAGATTAATAATATAATTAAAAAATATC